GTGTGTCAACCTTTCGTCGTGACTCCGTAGTATTCGCCTGCAACAGCTCCGTCGCTCGCGTGCCCGTCGACAACACAATTTTTCCTTCGGTGGACCAGGTACGACTTTCATCGTTTTCCACACTAACACACATTTAATATTATATTATTTCAGTGACGAACACCACCTCGTCGTAGCGTTTCGGTACGACTTAAATGCCGTTGTTATTATTAATATGATATTTTTTTTCATTCCTTTCCGCATCTCTTCGCCCCGCCCCCTCTCTCCCGCCGAGCCGATACGTTATTATTATTTTCTTAGAACACTAAGCATAATATAATGCAATATTATTCATGTGCATATATATACTATTTATAATTACTGTTTGCCCGTCATTGTCTCGTCGTCTTCGTTTGACGTAATACGCGACCCGCTATCGTTCCTCGTCCATTGCGTACTAATATTATAGTATTATCAATACTCCGTTGTTATTGTTGCTACATTCGTCTTTACTCTTTGTTTCAGTTCAAAGTTTTCAACGATATCGTCGCACACCAGAATCATGTTCAAGCTTTCGCTGTTCTGTGTGGCAGCCGTTCTTTTCGTGGCCGGCCAAGAGGCGCACGGAAAAATGACCTGTAAGTATTGTCATTATCGTTTATTCTAAAATGCTACATGTATGACAATCATTTATAATTTTTGTTTTATTCTTTCTCAGGTAAATTGCCTCAGGTCCAGATTCCAGATGATTGGATCACCATGGTTACCCCGTGTACGAAAAAAATGAAAGAACAAGTCCAGGAAGAACTCACTGCAGCAATGACATATTTTGCAATGGTGATTAGAAATTATTTTATTATTTTTGATTGTCTGTCGGTTTACACTAAAAAATTAATTGTGTACAACCAGTTAGAGCTCAAAATATGTAATTGAAAATAAAGTAACTTTATTAATGTGCTTGTATCGTGTATTTTTAGGGAGCACATTTTTCTAAGGACACAGTAAATCGTCCAGGATTTGCAAAAATATTCTTTGAAAGTGCCAGTGAAGAACGTGACCATGCTATCAAAATTATTGGATATTTGTTGATGAGAGGAGGTTTAACTAAAGAGATCAGTCAATTAATTCGTGATCCTGTATGTAAATATATCTATAACCCATATTATATAACTTATATTAGTTGTTTTATTACATGTATATATATATTTATTTATAGCAACCTTTGTCTGAAACATGGGCTGATGGCTTAAGTGCATTGAAGGATGCTTTAAAATTGGAAGCTCATGTTACACGTAAGATAAGAGATATTGCCACCACATGTGAGGAACCTGGACGTGATGGACAAGATTTCAATGACTATCATGTGAGTAGTATTTTATTTTATCAGTGTTACGTGACATATTACTAATTAAAAAGAAAAACAAAAATAATTAATGAATGAATGGATATTAAATTTAATAAGAGTTTTTATCAAAATAATACTTCAACATTTATTCTTTGTCGATTTGTCACTAAGGCTTTATCATTATGAGTGTTTCTAAGATCACTTGACTCTTAATGGTGTTATAACTATATAATATTAATAGTTTAATATATGTATGTATAGTACTTGGAATATTAATTAATAGGTATGTTATCATTATTAATAATTAACTTTTATGATAACTCTCAACTATATTAATTATTTATTATCTATTATACAATCCTGTTATAAGTATTACATTAACAATGAAGGTATGAAATACTAATCGCAAAAAAATATATCAAAATTAAAGACTTATTAAAAATAGTTCAACTAGTTGTATGCACTATTTAAGTACTATTAACACAAAGATACCGTTTTTATCTTTCAACTATTCCTTAATAATAAATCAAACATTATGTTGGTTGTAGATTATTACATACATAATACAATTCAAAAACCTTTGTTAATCTAGATTTTCATAAAGTATAAAAACTATCCTTTATTGTCTTTTCTGCAAGTTGTTCGAAAATGACTAAAATAACTAATTTATTTTATAATAGTTCATAACTATTCATTATTTTGTACAAAATATATTTAAGTTATAAACAATTTATAATATATGCTAAATTTTCTATTTTCTGAATCTATGATTAATTGCTGATTAGACAGTCCAAATAAAATATTATTATAACATTTACATTTAGCTAATAATTTATCAGGACAAATATTCTAAATCTTTGGTTTATCATTGGACTAAGCTTAAATGATACTATTAGTTATTACCATTAATATTTCTTTTGTTAACTTTCTTTTTTATTTATCAAAACTTATTTGGTATGTCATGCAATGCCATGCCAAATTGTTATTTAAGATGCATTAAGATTCTTTACGTCTTGTATAGAATATCTTAAAAAGGACATCTATACAAAATGTACCCTATGTATTTGTCACTAATGTATTATTACAATTAACGAGACAATTGTTGATACTATACAACTATTATTTGACAAAGTTTTGAATATAAGTATTTAATTTATTTACATAAAATTAATTACCTTTTCTACACATGTTTTATATATTTACTTTTTTTTCTAAAGTAACCATTATTAGTCATTGCTAATTATTTACATGTTGTTAAAAATATTATTTTCACTATTTGAGTAGATAATATTAATATTTAAACAATATAATATATTTTAGAGAATTATAACATAATAATTTGGCCAACTAAATTGTATACTAATTAATCATGTATACAAATAAAGAACTTAGTATGCTCTTCTTTACTTTGTTCATTAATAAAAACATGTATCTCTTACATTCATTATCAACTAACTTAGTATCTTAAATCATTATTTATTTATATTTTATAACTATAATTAGTTAGGCATGTGTTAGTTCCTTATATTAAGTATACTTTAGCCTATTCAATATCTTTAATAAAAGTGAAAGGTTTAACCATTTAAAATAATACTAATTATAATATTACTAATAGAAATAAATATTTACATAACAATTGTTGCTATTGGACTAACCAAATTCTGTTATACCAAATAATTAAAAAACCCATTTTTATTTAATTTTATTTAAACAGGTTTGAATAAATAGATTTTGTTTAATTATTTTTAGTTGGTTGATTGGTTAACTGGTGATTTCTTAACTGAACAATATGAAGGTCAGCGTGACTTAGCTGGTAAAATATCTAATCTTGGTAAGATGTTAGAAGCACATGGAGCTCTCGGTGAGTTCCTCTTTGACAAGAAACTTTTGACTGGAGCTGCAGTTTAATTTACATTATTATGAACAAAATATGAACTTTACTCTTAATTACGAACATTATCCAAACATTTTTTTTTTTAATGTAATTATGTGAAATGATTATTACTCATAGATAAACTTATTCATAAAATTAACCAACTATTGTATTTAAGTACAGTCAATATTAAAATACAATTTTATTATATTTTTCACAAACATAGATTAAAAATAAATATATATTTACAGCTACATTGTATTACATGATTTTTTTATCAATATTTTTTAATTAGTATAAAATTAATTAAATTATTATTTAATATTGTTGGCCATAATATTTAATTTTAATCCAATTAAATATATGATATTACTTTATTTGTAAGTAATTATTGCACTCTAAGACTTATAAACAATCACGAGGAATCAAATGTTTATCTTTTATTATATTGTATTTGTTTATGACAGTGCTTGAATTGAGAAAAATTAAAAAGGTGGGCACATAAATGTAAAAAAAAATGTGTCCACCTGAATATTTAAATGTCATTTATTATAAGAGATAGTAAAAAAAAATATGCATAAATGTTTATTTATAGAAAAAAAGCTGTCCTCTCTTTATTCAAGCACTGGTTTACAGTGACATATTAAAAAAAATATATATCTTGGAGACATTATTTCTTCCTTGTATTCCTTATTTCTATTTATGTTAAAACCATTTCCAAAATTACTCCATATTAGTTTTAACAGTTATCATTTGTTAACAAATTATTATTACTCATAGTAATGTCTAACTTAATTTTATTATTACATTTAAATGATAATACAAAATTGTAGAGAACCTTTTTATAAACTAAATTTTGTACAATTTATTTTTTGTATCATTCTTTAAAATAATAATAGTCATTATCAAGTATCAATATAGGTGTATTATGCAATTAAACTACTTGTGATGTATGAAATTATTTGATTTTTATTTACAAATATATTATTTATTATATTTGAGTTTTACAATTTTTTCTTTCCTGTTGTATTTATTAACCTATATAGAAATAGATCTGAGGGCTAAGATGGTTAAAAAAAAAATAGTGGAAGATTATCTATACCAATTAATTGCTAGAGAGAGAAAGAAGTTTAGTAACATTTTTAGAAAAAGAACACCACATTCTTTAGGTCCCATCATAGGCATTGACTATCTCTTTCTAACAAGGTTGCCAGGAAATAAAAGATGCTTAGTGTGCATCTATCATATACGTAATATGATTATATTTGACCATCAGTTGTCTTCAGTGGTGTAGTGGAGGATACACGGCGTGTACCCACTTCCTAATTTTATAACTATGCGTGTACCTTTAACGAAAATCGTAGTACGCGGGTACACGGAGCATGAATAAGATGAATTAACGTTACCCAGCAAATAATATGTATATTCATTAAACTTTGATATTTAATAATTAAAATGATAAGCGTAATAATTTGTTTATTTCACGGACTAAGAAAAGATCATAAAAGTCCGTGGTTTATTTGTACCACGGCTGTAGTAGTACTATCTTAAATCGTGTTGTACAGAGTCTTTTGTACACAAATCTATTTTTAAACCATTTGGTAACGTTCACAATATTGTTGTTTTGCCCAGTTATCAGTTATTGTTCCAAGTATTCATTACAATTTTATATAAACCTTCTGTCCCTAGTACTTGTTCAATATGCTATCAACTCTGAGTATTTGGTCTACCATAATTTTATGTTGGTCGATGATTAAATATGCTATTTATAAATGAAAATTATGGTTTTGTTTACCAAATATGTTATAATCACTAGTAGATAACATGAACGAGTACTTATTAGGAGGTTGTGGGGAACGTAGCCCACCACGTTTTATTTTACAATGATTCAGGCGTGTACCCATAAAAATTTTTAAGACTACATCATTGGTTGTCTTACGTCTAAGTTAATATTTTGAGACGTGGTTTAGTGGTTATTGATTGGACAACACATGAAATTTAATATTACGCAGATAATTGTAATATTCAGTGTGTTATTTAAAAAAAGGTAATAGTTTGCTTGAAAAATGTGTCTATCATTAATTTATCAAGAAAATGAAGATGAATTATTTATATTTTTTAATTATTAAAAAATATAATGGGATCAGATAAATTTTTAATCCAATTGATTAAAATGTTAGACACTTAATTAAAATTAATTTTAAAAAATGGAATTTTATTATCGTATGGAAATATAAAGGATCTTTGTCAAAACAAAATTATATCGGTAGGTAACAAAAGAAACAATAATTATCATACAAGTGTTTTTAATGGACATTAAGAGTCTGATACTCATTTAAACAATTTGTAACAGTTATTTAACTTGGAATTGCTAATCATTTATAATACTGTAATGACAATAATAATTATAGATATAGCTGCAATAATCACGTCCATTATGTGCAATGGATGAACAATTAACTATAAACGACGTTATTATTTTTCAAACAAATAATAATAATTTACATTTCCTATTTTTAAAATTAGGTAAATACAACTGTTTATAACAATTATTGTGTATTGTATATTAATTTATTACTCGTAGTCTATACTCTATTAAACAGTAAAAGATTATTTAATATTTTATAATAGTACGAATATAATACAACTAATTTCAAAATGTCTGTGTATAACTCCAATATTTTCGCGTTGAAATTGTAAGTTAACGAACTCAAGTCAACACATTTTGAGCTGTAATCATACTGAATAATGGTCAACCAACACTACTAAGTCAATACATCGATGCACATTAAATTAAGTTTATTTAATCTATTTCTATTATACCTATACTCGTCCTTAAAAGTACTTTATTAACTACTTACCTATTATATTGTTCAAAAAATCGATTATTTTAATCGCTCTTGAGTAGTCGTTATTGAGCTTCTAGTATTGGTTCCCTACCCCCAACAACAACTTAAGTTAAACCGAGTTCAATTGATTTTTTTTTTCATTTTTTTTAGAGTCCCTTCTTTCAATTGTTTAATTTGAGCACCATTTACATGCATGCACTATTCAAATAACTAATATTATAGAAGGTAATTAACGGATAACGACAACTGCATTGGGTGCGTGATAATAATACAAATGCGATTTCAGAATACAGCAATGCACCTGTTGGCTGTTATAGTAGGTAGGTAATTAATAAAAATTAAAGATACATTTGATTAGTACACTTATAAATTTATGTTTTTTTTAAACTGAGTTTTAATTACGTTACATAAATGTAATTGTAGTAACATATTAAATCATAGTTACAAATTACAATAAATATTGTATAATCAGTCAAATTATTGATCTTTAATAGCTGGTACATACATAGCTTATTCAATACAATTTAGCGAAGTAAAAATTAGTTACAATAACTACACATGTTAAAAAAATATTTGGTAAAAAACAACGAACCTACTATTCGAACTTCTAAATAATTTATAGTGGTGCTCTAAAAATATAAAAAAAAGTCCAAAGAATTCCATCCCTTTTGTGTGTGTATGTGTGTGTTTGTATACCGAGTACTGCCTGCCGGTATGTAAGTGATATCTATATTATCTATTAATGTATTATTATATTTCTGTGATGCACAGCTACAGATTTACAATCTCATACTAGTCATACTTATATGACATTATAACAATTAATATATAGCTTTTGGCTCGCAGCATAATAGACATGAAAAAAAAATACTACGTAAAAAATAGATAACGTTGAGCCTATTCTTGTTACAATACAAAACGTTTTATCCGATAACATCGTTTTTTCTGTAAAAGCTGAAGGCTGTAATTACTGTAGTTGTTATTGGGAATATATAAATGCGTTTGTCAAAGTTTAAATTTTAATCAAAGGCGACGACGAAGGTATCTAATGGCTATATTATGTTCGTGTTCATATTTAGTTTTTCTATTCGTTATGAGTACCAATATAGCTTATATATAGCAATACAACGAGGTTTAATAGATAGGTAGGTATACTCACACGAAACATAGCACTTAGTCGCGTCATCCAGACCAAAACTTTTTGGTCACGTTTGGTTCGGATATCGAAAGTTTTTAATTTTTCACTTTCCTGAGTATATGTGTGGCATTCATTGAAAATATATTTATGATTAATATGATAAATAATAGTATTTTGCTATTAAGAATAGTGGCAACGTCATGATTTTTTTCTAGGCAGGGCCAATGTAAGGCCACAAAAAACGAGATTTAAACAAAAAATTATAAAATATGCATAAAAATATGTAATTAGAAAAATAATATTATATAATTTTTAAAAATTATACAATAATATAATATTATAGAAGTATATTATTCTAAATTACCTACATACAGACTGTACAGTGACGTACAAATTCCATTATTTTCTACTTATGACAAATAATAATATTATTATGTCTAAGGTTAGGCTAGTAGTAGGGCCAGGTTTTTTTAGTTAGGGCCATGGCCCTATCTGGTCCGTCCCTAGCGTCGCCACTGATTAAGAAGACGACAATACGTCATAGGTACTAACAATTTTGTAGCATAAAAGCATCTATACGGAAAATAGAGATGCTCGTTTTATAGTGTTTTTAGAGAAAAATTACTAATAATACAATTTGAAGTTAACAATATTTCAGAGACAAGCTTATATAAGATTTTTAAATTATGTATATTGTGCGTAATAAAAAATTATAGTTATTTAAATAAAAAGTAAAGTAGGCAAATTAATGAAAATAATTAACTCAAATTAAGTTAAGTTATAAAGAACACAAGATCGATTACTTAGAAGTTAACTGTTAACAAATCATAAATTTGACTCGATAAGTTAAAATTGAATTTGGAAAAAGATATTAACTTATCTCGGTTTAAAAAAAGTTAATCTATTTTTTTTTAATTAGTATACCTATGTAAATCACATAAAGAGTAACTGCGTCTTTTTAATTTAAAAAAAAAAAAAAAAAAAATTAATTTAATTTTATTGAATTCTTATCATAATGTACATTGTGCAGTGTAAATACTAATACCCTTTTACATTACATGGTAATTATTTAATAATTTAAACTATACAAATCTCAAATTAATAATTTAACATATATAATTTTTTTTATGTAACATAATATGGTAATTGAAGATTATATAATATTTTAAACAAT